TCGCATTCGTCTGCAAATTTTAGCGCTCTCTATATCGACGAAAACAGTTATTAAATTGACACTTCTTGAATATCACCTAAGTACAACCATTGTACAAAACGTTTTTTTTTTCAAATTTCATAATCAACTGAAACCGTAAGATTAAACGGAAGTTTTCAATTTCCGGTGACATTTCGAGGCATTCTTCACCTCAGAAATTTAACCTTTTCTTCAATTCAAAAGAGAATAGGCTGTGAATGTTATAAAGCCAGGGAACCTTGATTTCTAATGCTAGATGACATTTCTTCTTCGAGCGTTGAGACTGTTAAATTGATCGGTGGTGCACGATCGGTGGCAATATTGAAATTTGGTAATTCCATACGTTCCTTTAAACGATCAATTTTTTGAATATTACTGTCGAATTTCGAATCATTTTCTTAACACTAACAAAACTTGCCTACAGTTTGAAGCTCTTTTCTAACCAGTTTGTGGCGCATTTCTATTCTGCTTATGTAATTCATCGTTTTCAGTTGGATAACGAACGATTCAACAATCATACAAGTGATCACATCATTTCGCGAACGCAGTATATTATAACCAAATAAATGATCGCAGGTCCGTAATAAAGTTTGTTGGCATTTGGTCATATATTCAAAAATAAAACGAGATGCGAAAATAGTAAACGCCATCAATGTATAAACATAAAGTTCGCATGAACACTAACGAGTCGTTGTCTCTCTCGAATAACTGCCAATTCATGCATCATTTGTCGTCGTTCATCAACTTTGCATCTGCTCGATTCTGAGTTCAATTCGGACATACTGCTCGATTCACTGCTGACTCCAATTTCAGCTTCTATCTGTTCAATCCCGAGAACCTTCTGCAATACAGCGGCTATGTGAACGACCCATATTGTAAAAACAAAATTTGTGTACTGTTTGTTTTCGTTCCATTGAGACACAATAACTTTACATCTTTACTCAGATTTTTAGTCACGTTAAAAAGACAAGGTAACTGTTCAACAAATTTGAAACAATCACCGTCGTCACGCGATAATTCCGAGAAAACTAAGAGTGTCTCGAGATAAGACTTGCTTACGAAAGCGCTTGCCACTGTCAGGAGAAAACTATTTCTCGCAATCACTGAAGTTGTAATGGAAAGTCCAAAACTTAATTTACAATGAAACAAACCCGTCCGCGTAAAATGCGGCGTCGTGTTTGCTTATTCGATCGAAACATCGCGTTAACCGAATTGCCGATAAAATGTGAGGGATGCTGTCGAACCGTCGCTTCGCAAGACATAACAAGCTATAAATGGAAATTTTATACAGATGAGAAATCGTAATTTCGCAAAAACACTGATGCGCTCCACATGTGAGAAACCACCTGTTGACTATGGTCAACCTTTTTTCAAGGATGACAATCGACCGAAATCTCAGTAGTTTAGATGGTTTCTCGAATAAAGCAAAGTTTCAGTAATTACCGAAGTGATTTCGATTTGACTCCAAATTTCATCTAAACTTAATCTGGATATTATCCTTAGCACTATCTGCGAATATATGTGCCTATAGAGTTTTGTTCTTGAATGCTATAAAAATGCATTTCGCAGAAATTCAGATCCATTGAAAGTAAATCAAAAAAATGGATAAATACGGAGTTCTAATGTCGAAAGAAAGCGGCATAAGCGCCCATAAGACTATAACGAAGTTACACCACTAAAGAAGTACCGAATTGTCTATTTTATAGATTAAATATTATAGTTTTTCAAGACGAACCCAACAACAGCGCCACTCAAAACAGAAAAAGCAACAGCAATGAGACACACGAATCGAGTGAAGATTGCTCAAAAGAGAATTTGTCAGCTCAAAGAGGTAAAATTACTGAAGAATATCTCTATGATAACAACAACAAGAAGGGAGAACATACGAATCACGCACAATAAATTATCATAATCAATGCAATATTAGCGAAGAGTGACACATGAAAACTGTTTCAAGACAATCGTAATCATCGAGATCGTCCTACGAGCTTGCCCCTCAGCACATTCTCACAGAGATCTCTAATGATTTACGATAATTCTCTAATTGCAAAAGAACTGATCGCTAATTTCTTCGTAATCAAGCGATGAACACTTCAAAATGAAAATTTGCCCGCGTAAATAATTTTTGTTGGCCACGAACCAATAACTCAAATGTCGTGTTAAACTTTCTAAATTCTGAATGAAGTTGTAATTATGAGTTAATATTGGTATGTTTCATTTAAAATTGTACATTTTTCATCAAGAAACACGATATATCATCAGGAAAGACGACATTAATGCTTTTATTTGTAATACCGTGCTGACAACGAGTTATGTGTCTAACTTGATAGAGTAATGACTCTATCTGGCGTATGTAAACATTTTCTCATCTCTGTTCAGATTCCTCACGATCA